AGAGACCTAACGAAGAAGGCAACATTCCTTTTATGGTCAAAATCCATTAAAATAAGCATTCCGCTTTTTATTTTCATAAAATCGAAGTTGAGCAGAGTCACTCCCACGTAAGAACATAAATCAAAAAAATAATTGTTTAAAATATTTAGAGCAAAATTGTTAACTTTTAATTTGTATGCTGTAGAAGTAATTTAAAGTTTTCTAAATCCCCATGCAGTGTTAGATTTCAACATAAGTATATTTACGAACTGCAATCCCACACGATTTGTATAAAAAATATAGATGATGACATATGTCCTCAATGTTGGACCTCTAAATATATCAAAATTTATAGTCTGTGCCCAGACTGCCCCAATAATAAAAAAAAAATGGAGGGAAATAAAGAAAATAATCAACTCACCTGCCACCCTCAAGCACACTTACCTCTTTATTTCAGCCCACTTATTTATAAAAACAGACACGCACCCATATATATCACTCGGATATGGGTGCAGATGTGTGTGCACTCGTGTATATAATGTCGAGCAAAACCAATCGCTGATGTGAAACGTCTCGAATGCGTTGGCGTTTTGTCAACTTTCATGGGTGGGGGGTTTTTACAAGGGGGGGGGGGGGCAAAGACATGGGAACCTGAAACAGAGTCTGCTGCAGAAATCACTTTGATGAGCATCAGCATTGACATGTTGTTGAAATTATTACCCGACTGTCAGTTGGCATCCACATTTACTCACTCGGCGGCGCATTTCGAGTGGCCTTTTATAATTGGCACTCGGACAGGAGTTGGCAATTGTGGGTGGTTTGTGTGCTGCCAAGATGCGACACCCAAATCCTCTCCTCAAAATCAATATTTATACGTCCCTCGCTCACGCCATCTGATCTCCCCTGGCCGATTGGCCGGCCAACACTGATGAGTTAATGCCGCCGACAGTCAGCCATTAGACGGACCAGTGGACAATCCAATCCCGCAAAGCCCCCTTTGCACCCATTTACACTGCATGTCGCCCTGTCATTTCGAATGTCTGATGATGTTACACTGGACACAAATAAAAGTACTTTAATTCTCCTATGATGGTTTCGAACACCTTAAGGCCAACGATATTTTTGTTTTATCTTACTGATGTAGTCAACATTTTATCTATTTTAATTTATTTATTTTATTAATTTTAAAATAATAATATTCTCTCATACTCTTCTACAACTCTTTTAAGTACTTCTTATCCTTTCAAATTCATGAGACTTACTTTTTTGTCAAACTCATTTATGTTTTAGCCATTGAGTAATACATTTAAGTAAAGAATATATTTACTTCGTAAACCTGATATTATTTTTCTCTGTGTAACATGTTACTGTCCAGGGAGATTTGCATTGGTTATTAGCTCAGCTGCGCATCGGGACCTTCAATCTGCGTGTGTGTTCTTGTGTGTGTGGCTGTGCGTGTCTGCGGTTTCGATTTTGTTGACAATTTGTAGCGTAATTAATTGAACCAAAATTAATAAAAACAACAACAAATCGACGGGGGAGACAGACGATGACGACAGCCGAGCTTTTGTTGTTCGATGTTGTTGTTGTTGGTGTTGCTCCGGTCGGTGGTTATTGTTATGTTTGTTGTGTTTGCTGCCCGGGGGAGATTACAATTGGCAGCGACGAGTGATACATAATGTTAAATGACTTAAATGCTCGAATGACGGGGGCCAAGCGAAAATACAAAATCACGTTCCTCGGAGCAGCAGCACCGCCATCAATCGCTCACGATTAGCCGCGATCTCTTGGTGGCTGCCATTTGGCGGTGGTTCGGTGATTCGGTGGTTCGGTGGGTTCATGTTGCTGTGACTTTTCTGCAGTTTCACTTTTCGCCTCCTTGTGATTTGTTAAGCTTTGTCAATGCCCGGACATATCCATTATTCTTCACACACGATTAGTTTTCGATGCTTTAGTTGCGAGCGCTTTTCATGGCTAATAAGCGTTGATTGATATGAGCTGGCCAAACAATTTAGCTGAAAGTGATCCATGTTTATGTCATTGGGTATTTAAATCAAAGTTGGGTTTGCATATCACCAATCTTTACTACTTACCCATGCAAATTTAACTAGGAAACTAATAAGTTATAGTGTTTATAAGATATTCGACTTGTTTTTATAATCTGTGAACAACCTTCGTAAATGGTAAAAGAATGCAATTTCATGTTTACACATTGCCTTTAATTCATATGCCTGGCATTTATTTGTTTTTAATTGCCCATTGTCAACCCTCTGATCTTCACTATTCCATTCATAAACCTACAAACTGATTCATACGCTGCCCACCCACATACCCTCACTTATGCAAATTACATATATCAAAATGCTTACAAAAATTAATTAATAAGACAGCCAGAATGAGATGGCCAGAAAACGAAACCGAGCTGAGAAACAACAACTTAATCGCTTGGCATTTCCGCTCGTCCAATTCCACTCAAAATAGCCAGCTTCCACTTCCCAAAAGCCAAAAAGACGAAAAAAAACAGCATGATAAAGAGAACCTGTGCAGGTGGTTATGACCATGAGGGCGCGTGGGCCGGCTAAGTCGAGTGTATTTCCGCTTGAAAGCGGCAATAACGATATTTGTAATAATAAATTTACGTAAAAATATAAAACAAAATCAACGTTGACTCAAGTTGCCGCCCACTCAGCGACACCAACGCATTGATGTGGCTGCAGACAAAGTTAACAACCGGCGAGGTAGCAACAACGAAAACAGCGACGAAAAAAAGAGAAAAAACACGGCTTAGAAGCTTGGCCCGAAGCCCCACGAAGCTCACAATTAGCCAGTTGAGAGAGTTTTTTCTGCTTTCTCACCGCTTTCCCATGTGGCGGCCTTAAATGGTCGCAGACACGTCTCACAGACTTCCTAAGCGGGATCTCCGGCAATCCGAGTCGGCCAAGAGGGGGAGCTTATAGCCAGTGGTCCCCGCTTTGCTTTCTGACCATATTGGGACAAATGCGATTTCCGAAGCTGGCAATTAAAAGCCAAGTCCCGAGTCGAAGCTCAGAACATTTGCATAAGCAATTGAACGACATGGCAGGTGAAGTGGGGGCCTTTTCACACCTAGATTGGATAAGATTATCTAACAAGCAATCATTAAAACTAATTCAAAAACACTTTACATTTATATTTAGCCAAATCTCAATTAAATCTTTCTCATTATATCTTCTTTCTTTACAGTTTCTTTTCCACCCATGTCCATGTATTTTTTTGGTTTGACCATAACTTGATCGCAAAACAAGCATTCAAATGTGACGTTTGCTTTTTTAATTATGGCTCGCTTATTCATGTTCTTGTCTTGGGAGTCGTCGTCGTCCAGCAGATTAAGCTGTCAGCGAAAAAAAAACAGCACAACACTATTGGCCAATTTGCATGAATTTTTAAATATGCTCATTTAATTAAAAATATTTTCTCGTATATCATTTGTAGCTCACTTCGCACGCAAATCAAATTAATGTGGCTTGCGTTACTTCACTCTCTTGAAACGTGTGACGACCTTGTACCGTGAAAAATGTATGCTTTTGGACGAAAAATTATAATCAAATTTAACTGTTGTCATCATGATTTATTTACTTAAGAACAAAACACGACAAACGATGACGAACTCGCCGTCAGACAGAAGCACAAAGATAAATTAATAGTCAGTCAGTCGCAGAGTCGATCGGTCTATTGCCCGCAGCAATTTATTTAGCAGTGTTCATATATGAGTATATCGGAGCAAACTCGAGATTTGAATCCGTAGTATGTCGTCATGGCAACAACAATAAAAAATCAACTTGTTTCGCCTGCAGGAGCAAATCCATTTCGCAATTATTTCTCCGTTGTCAGTTAATTATAATTATTGGCGAGGCGAAAAAAACTATGCAAAAAAGACCATAAACAATATCGGTTGTTAACAACAACAAAATCGGTTTCCAACAAATGAAATGTGACTTTGAAATCAGCTTAGCATTTGTAAATTAGAAGCGGGGCGAAAACAACTTGAGAAGTGCACACACCCAATACATCAAATGAATTCCATCAAAAAGAATTATAATAAATCATAAGATCTTAATAATATACAAAACACAAAGTTTTTATAAAGTCTACCTATAGTCACTTCGGGTTCTTACTTCAATGATCTAAAAATATTTTGTTGCGAACGTGCTGGAAAAATAATAATTCCTTGGGTTTTTATCGGCATCATAACTCAAATAAATATCAATACCAAGTATCTTTTATGGTATGAACCAAAAGTTCAATGCTAAAATACAAATATTTTTAATGGAACTCTATTGAAGTTTTATCTTTAATCAATCTATCCCAAATACGTACATCTCCTTGAACTTTATTTCGACATGCATCATAATTCGCTACCAAATCAAAGTTGATCCAAATATCTAGCGAGAATTCGGTATCATTTATGGTCCGGCATCAAAAGTTCAACCTTAAAAATGGAAATCCGACACAAGTCAAGCTCTGTAGCTGATACCATCTCAATCAAAGACGAATAAACATTTTTAACTATTTTCAAGTGAGCACAAACAGTGTCTGACTTGTACAAATGAATGTCAAACGCTGCTGCAGCAGCAAATAAAATTAGCAATAAATTTAAATAAATAACTGCTTGGCGATATTAGATCATACGAAATCTCAGGGGGGTGCTGTCCGTGGAGAGTGCCATCCAGCAGTGAAAAAACACTCGAAACGAAACCGAAAATCTGAAATGGAAATCACTCAAGAGAGTGCCGCTGTGTGAAGACCAACTGAGACCCGGTTCCTATGAGATACAATGCTATGCCGATACGATCCGATACGATACGATCCGGCCAACGCAAAAAGCACCCACACATCGGGTGGATATTTGGGGAAAGAGAGAACTGGTTTCTCTTCAATGACGTTGTGTTGGCGTTGGCGAGCGCCAGTGGGTTTCTCGGTTTATTGGTCGCTCGGAAAACGAGACTCTGCTGCCTTAGCCTGCCTTTTAATGCGGCATTTCATTCATTGATCGTTCCAATAGCGCGCCGCACGCTCAGCGCAGCGGACAAGTTAACCAGCCAGCCCGTCAGTCAGTCAGCCAGAAGTCCGACTTCCACCGCCCACTCGGTCGCTCAATTCGCTGGCCGGGCTAACGGAGTCAAAGCCAAGTGGCTCAGCTGATTCGGCGGCTGACATCCCATTCCCGATCCCATCCACACACGACATTGACGATCCGCGCACCGAGATATATCTTTTCAGTGCACAGCCGACAAGCGCAGCAGGCGGACGCAGCGCAGCGCAGAGTATTCTCCGTGTTTATTCTCGATCGCCGTCGACTCGGGATATTGGATACAGACATAAAGATACTGAGATATATACACGCTGTCGAGCGACGCGCACTCATAGATATTTTTAGCAGCCGGCCTCACGCATACCGCCGCAGATTAGTACCGCCGCACTGACACACGCGGCTTGCACGTTTCGGAAAACTCACTCTCGGAGGCTTTTCCCCGCAGCCAAACAACAATACGCGAAAACCAAACAAAAGTTCTTATCAATAATTAAATCGCCGACTCGGAATCAATTTAGCCCAAAACAAGTTCTACTGTTTTGAGGAAATAAAACCGAAAACAAATCTTTTTTGTTGTGTTAATATGCCAAATTTATGCATGAGCTAATAACTTTAATTCCTGAAAACAGAAAAAAAACTTAAAACCAAGCAAAACAAAATAACAAGAAGAGATCCCATATCAAAATTAGTTGGGTGACTAATTAGCTGATGCGTTGTCGGAATCTCAATTTGCATACTTTGCGCAACTTTAATGAACCAAAAATTAAAATAAAAACATCAACAAATCTTAATCAGAGCGCAGAAGTAAGAAATTTAAAACATCCCAAACAACCTTAGAGCCACACAAAAAATTGGATTTATGAAATCAAAAAGGTAAATATATCAGCGCCATTTATCACACATAAATATAGAGATATAGTTGATTTCCTCGATCTCTTGTTGCCGCCCCAATAAAAATAGACAAAAGCATTCCTTTGGCCAATCACGAATATCACAAATAGTGGGTGCCACACACGGGGCAGGGCAACTTTTGAGAAACTTCTGAAACATTTATTTGTCCAAGGTGTTGAAACGCCCAAGTGTGGAAGGGAGAAATGTTGGTCGGATGCTCAGGAGGGAAAATAGTGATGACAGCCGGTTGTCAACTGATTTTGAGCGGTTACCGAAGGGAGCAACAGCTTGGCTTTGTTTGTTTTGCGGCTAAAACAAGGGAAAACAGTTTAATTATTGTGTAAACAAAAGCTGTGAATTCGTTGCCAATGAATACAGGATTCCTGGCCGCCAATTTCGAATGGGAATGAGTTAGTCAAATAGTCACTTATTTATTTAAACGTATAAAGAAGTTTTGTCACTACTGAATGATCTTAATACTTCACATGCAAAGTTTTTAAAAAAAATTTATTTACATAATTATACATTATTGTCTTTGGCTTGTTAATCAAAAATTCCCAAACGTTGAGTTATAAATATGCATACTGATTTAAGAAATTGTGATAAATATAAAATTTTTATTTTGAAAGCAAATAATTTGCTGTTCTTATCTTAAAGCTTCAGCAGCTTTGCACAGCGCACACAAAAGCTAGGAAAAATGTAAATATTTTTGTAGATTTTTTTGCGTTAAATTGTCCATTCAATTTTTAAACAACTTTTTATTAGCTTTAGCGCAGCATTCCGAAACGGATTAAAATTTTAAATCCTGTCAAAGTTAATGGTTTTGATGAAATAATAAATCAAAAATTAAAATTAGATTATGGACTCATAGGTCTTCCGCATCTCTATGTTTACTCGCCTACCTCATTGTTTTTGTCCCCCTGACCCAAATCTTAGCCCATGTGGGAACAGCTGTCCGTCTCTATGGAAAGGCGACAAAAACAATAACAAACAGGAAAAAAATTAAGAAAAATAAAAATTGGCCAAAAGGCAAATGCCAGAGACCTGTCAAAAAATCAAGCAAATCAAAAGCCGATGGGTAATACAAAACCACACAAAAGGCTATCAAAATATAACGCAAACGTAGGCACACATGCATATATCCATCTAAATATATATATTTTTACACACACACACCGCACACACAGAATAAAAAAGGGAGACAGAGAATGTAAACACGGCAACATCACACATACGCAGTGTGTGCCAATTTTAATAAACAAACTCAACGTAAATGGAAAATCAAACAAAATCATTTGGCCAAAGCAACGGCAACAAATCAACGGCATAAAAAGAAAACATTAAACGAAACACAAAGAGCAAAAAATCGAAAAATTAAAAGATGTAAGAAAAAAGAAGATAATAAACGAGAAAAATAACAAATAAGAACTTGCCGCAGGCTGGCTAAAAATAATTGCTGCCAACGGTAGCACACACGAGACAAAAGGCAGGGGACTTTCAAAGTGCAACTGGCAACAGCACGAGACAACACCAATAACAACAATAACAACAACAACAACAACAACAATCAGTCAGGACAACAACAAGAAAGACTATAGACTATAAAAACAACAAAGTCGAAAGCAAATGAAAGATTTTGACGCTCTCCACAAAAAACAAATTAAGAATCACAAATCGAAAAAGATAAAAAATAGACAGAGACGCTACGAAAATAAGAAAACAAAAATAGTAAAAGAAAATTCAAGTTGCATACAATAAAAACTAAATTTAGAGCTGTGGCAAAAACAACAACCAGAAAGAAATCAAACTCACGCCAGGCACAGAGACAATCCGAATCAGTCGGTGATTCTATAGCAGATCGACTCAGAAGGGAGATCGAATGAATCAAGAAACCATAGGATTAATTATGAATATTTTAAAAGGAGATTGAGAACTAGGATTCGGGGGCAGCAAAAAAGTAATTTCATGGTTCAGTTTCAGAGGATTAATTAAAAATAAAACATTTGATCTTAGGTGGATTATTGCCACTATTGGCCCACTGAAAATCATTTGGTTATCTCATTAAAAAATCAAATTCCGAACTAAATCATCTGCCCTCGTTCTTTCAATGCCTCGTGTGATTCAGTTTTTTTATCGCTTGCGCCCAAGCAGCAGACGCTTCATTTTCCATTTAACCGCACCCGACTGCCCGAATCCTTGAATTCGAAAACCCCTTCCCCCCGATTTCCCCCCAAAAAGCCATGGGCGCGCAGACAAGCGTGCAGAAAAAGTTCTAAATTTAATGGCTACACCTAAAAATGCAGCGACTGCAACCGAGCCAAAAGTGAAGGGCAGACTGGAGGGGGAGTCTCTCGCTGCTCGCCGGTAGTTTCAAGTGCACTCCGACTAGGCCCGGCTAACATCCCCATTTCCCAAACTCACTCCATCCGAATTTCCAAAAAAAAAACTAGATGTATGTATATATATGTGTATCTGTGAAACAGACCGCCCCACCCACACGCCTCTGCCCCGCCCCCTCGACCCCTTCACGCCTCGTCGCACGCACGGCTCGCCTTTTGTCTGCCTCGTTGTTGGTAAAAGAGAAAGGGAGAAGGGGAAAGGGTTGCACTGAAACTTAAATAAAAAATTTAACAAAGCAATGCAGAATACCTCAAAATATATTTCCAAGATAAGTCTACTAAATATGATTATACAACTTTAAAAACCTATATGAACTTTCTGCAGTATTTCTCTCTGTGTACAAATGAAATAGATGGGTTTTTGTGTAAGAGCCAGAGGAACTGTTCTATGTTTGTTGTCTGCGCATTTCAATTGGCCGCTTTCTGCATTGTGCCGGCGTGTAATTGAAAACTTAAGCAGAAGCACCCCTCTCTATGCGCCGCACACTTTATCCACGGAAAGCGCGCAAACAAATTTTCCAATCAACAGAGAACGAAAACAGGGCTTAGACTTTTACGCCCCCGCTCATTTCCTGCCCCACTTCCTTCCCACATATCCTGAATCCCTCCGGTGGCGCCCCCGAAAATCAGAGGCCCGCTTGTTGCTGTTTGTTCAACAAACGTTTATTAGCCGCGAATACTTTTAATCGCATGCAATTTGTTGATTGCGGCCAGTTGCGCTGCACTTTCCACGCTTTTCCATGCTCTTCCACCCACCCAAAGCCCACTTTGAGCACACGGAACTGGGTAATTTTCACGTCGTTTTGGACCGGGGGCGGGAAATTGGGGAGTGAGCAGGTGAGCACCGGTTGCCGCCCCACTTTGAAGACGGTGCACAAATTTTTCTGTGTTGTGCACTTAATTGCTGCTTGTTTGTTGCATGTCGCAAACTTTTACGATGCCCTACCAACTCAAGTGGGTACATTCCCCAAGCTGGAAAGATATTTTAGAAAATGTTTGAGTTTAGAAACATGGCGTAAAGAAATTTGGCTAAAAATAGGTTTTTAATGGTAACAGAAACCCAAAAGAAATTTTATTTATAAGTTTACTTTAATCTGAAAGCGGCTAGAGGAACTCTAAAACGCTTTTTTAAGAAATGTTTGAAAGGGCAACCGGTGGACCTTACTTTTGCACTTAAAAGCCGCTGTCTGCAGGGTCTTTAAACATTTCTTGGGATTGCGTGGCAAAAATTAATTATACCTCAAATCAGAGGCGAAACGCCGCAGAAAATGCCGGCACGAAGTGAAAAACCTGGCCACGTGTTGAAAGTTTTTGCAGGGAAAGGTGATTTGAATTGCAGTTGCTAAGATGTTGAGCAAATGGCATACCGCCCTCTAAAATCCACCATTCATTTTCTTTCTTTTTTCTGTGTGCCAGACAAACAAACATTAACGGTAATCGAAGAAAAGTGCCCACTGCCGATGGCCAAAGGAAAAACACCTCATAACCCGTTTAGGCCAAGCCAAGAGCGAGCTCTGGGAATGGTCAGAGCTATGCAACAAGTGTCAAGCAGGCCAACGAGCCAACAAGCCAAGTCAAGCCGGATCGGGCAAGGCAGCCAGAGCCAGAATCGTCTAGAGCCAATTTCGGACAATCTGCACTAAATTGTCCATTTAAGTGAGGCCGAGTTAACCGACTAAGCGACTAGCTGCTCCCCTCAGATCAACTGACTCCAATCAATCTGCTCGCACTTACACCTCTGCATTCAGACTGGCTAACAGCTAACCGGCAAACTGGCAAACTCTGGCAAAATAGCAAACTGGCGATTTATGAGGCCAAGGCACAATTGCAAGGGCGTTAGCATCGATGCAGAAACATTTCAATCTCCACATCTCTGTGTGTTTGGGTGGTGCAAATTGCGTTGCTGCGTTGCGTTGGCTTCATGTTACATTTTCATGTAACTTAATTCTTGCATTAAAATGCATTCATTAACTGTTGCTCTTGCCGCATTGTTTTGTTGCATTTCCATTTCAAACCGACAACAGCCACCGCAAATAGTATCTGCCTGCCTGCATTCGCATTCAGCTCGACTGCAGGGAAAAGCGCTGGAAAATATTTGGTATAGCTGACCTACCGCAAACAAAAGAAAATTATAAACATTTCATTTACCACACGAACGCAAAAACTTTCTCAATATCAAATGGAGTACTTTGTGCCCTTGGCAATGATAGGAATTTTTCGCTTTTAATTCCCAGTTGAAAGTTCCTGCTCTACACTGTTTTACATTGTAAAGGTTCCAGATTGGAGCATTCATTAATTTTGTTGGGGTTTAGTAACATAAGCTGTTACTATTTTATAAACAACGGATATTATTTGTTTTTATGTTTTTTTGAGTGAGAAGCCACAAAAACTTTACGTTATTGTCAACCAAAATTTGTTTTTCATAACGAATGTTTATGATGAGCATAAAATTTCACATTTGTTGTATTTATTTATATTGTAGCAGTAGGATATGCACAAACTTTATATAATAAAAAAAAAAATTAGATAAATATTTCAAACAAATTGCAGAAAAACCAGTACTACAAAAATATGCAGTATAGCAAACATTTCCATTTACGTAGGAACAATCCATGATGATCATAAAAACAATTTTAAAATCTCTGATGCAATATAAATCATTACAAATTTTAAATATCCATTTCGACCAAGCGACGTTTGTTTACATTTACATTACTCACAAGAGAAACACGTCAAGCCGCCAATATGGACTTTTTGAACGACCAGAATTTAACGACTTGACTAAACCATTTTTAGGATTTGCGAAGACAGCTCATAGAGTTATTTGCAGGCGATTCATGGGACTTGAGTGCAAATATGACTCAGAAACAGATCGAGAAGATACTTGGAATTTAGCAGATTGCGCAACGCAATGAGCAATGAGAAATTTCATTTGGAAGACCAATTTGTTCTTACCCCGCTTCTAAATTGTATTTATGAGTTTTTTGGTTTGATGCGTTTCGTTTTGGTTTTTCGGCTTCAGTGGGTTTTATGACGGAAGCACTACTCAAGAATCGACTTCAGTTCATTGAAGCCAATTCGAGAGCCGTTTACGGAAGTTTTTGGCGGGGTGGGTCCGAAAAGAGACCGTTTCGCTTGATTGCACAGCCCCCATATGCTCCCCGATGTCTTTTCAAAAACAAAAAATAAAAAAATTGTACAAAATTGTTAATTGCCCCGGTATGGGATGGGTTCGAAATAAGCCGAATAGACCCTCGACTAAAGTCTGCCTCTGCACTCCACTTTCAGATGAAGTCCAACACGTACGAGCTGCACAACTACGCCGATCTGAATGACATGGATGCGGCGGACTCGAAGGACTCCCGGAAGAGGAAGACGACCAGTGCCCGGGGTGAAAAGTATTCCCTGCGACAGAAGCGACCGAAGAGGAGTCTAAATGAGGATGCAGACTCCGCGAGCCTGCCCGACTTTCAGCTGGAATTGGATCCTGTGGTGGAACCTTCCAGTAAATCGAGGAAAAACACACCCACCAAGTCCAAGACGAAAGCACCGCCGTTGAGCAAATATCGACGGAAAACCGCGAATGCCAGGGAACGAACCAGAATGCGGGAAATAAACACGGCCTTCGAGACCCTCAGACATTGTGTTCCCCAGGCGATAACTGGAGAGGATGCAGCTAATACCAACGAAAAGCTGACCAAGATCACCACCCTGCGACTGGCCATGAAGTACATCACCATGCTGAGCGATTCGATTAGGGATTCCAACTACGAGAGTGAGTTGATTGGCGAATGCCTGGAGGAGAGTGCCAATCGTGAGGCGAGAGTGGACTTCGAGGAAGCAGAGGTCGAGGTTGAGTTACCCGTTGCTCCGCCAGTTGTAAAGAAACCAGCCAAGACCAAGGGAAGTGCCAAGAAGAACTCGACGGCCAGCAAGAGACAGAGCCAAAAGCAGGCCAAGATTGAGCCGCAAGTTCCGGCAGTGAGTTCCGGGGAGTCCTGCTATGCCACATCCTCGATAGGCTCGCCTGCCTCCTCCGCCTACGCCTCGCTCTCCTCGTCGTCGAACAGCCACAGCAGCAGCAGCAGTCCGGGATTGGAGGTGGACACCTTGGTGGGATTGCACGGGATCAGCTCTCTGGACTCCCTGCTCTTCGACGCCTTGGATGGGGATTCCTTGCCCTGTTTGAGTCGCGGCTACGGAAGCTTGCTTACTGGCAGCGGGGAGTCCCTGTTGCCCGGTTGTCGAGGGGATCTGCCGATGTCTGGCTTGGAGAAATCGGATGTTGAGCTGAGCCTTCGGTTACTTGATCAGAGATCCGCGGACTCCTTCGACTTTGCCAGCGATCAACAGCCCTCGGCCTGCATCAGTTCGTTTTCCAGCCTCGACGGTTATCCCTCCGACCTGCTGTACACCGAATTTCCCGACATGTTTCTCACGTGACGCGTATTCTTTAGTATCCTCTACTACTCATCCTTCTCTTAAGTCTAACCCTCGTTTTAAGTTAGAGTGCGAGTTCTAACCCGACTTTCACACTTAGCCATTACATGCGATGCGCCCTTTGCGGCGGAATTCATTGTGTCATAGCAAGCATATTTAAGGTACATTTGACATTTGACCAACATCCAGCGAAGAGAAGAGCTGCTCACCGCCACATCTACATGATAACTCAACTCAACTCAAATCAAATCAACTCAACTAGTGATCTAAGCATTTCTTTCTGACGCATTTCTCGTTATCGTGTAAATAAAGCACCCAGTGTTGTTTCATGACTCGCAACGAGTTTGTTTTATGGGAAAGGGAAGGTGTTGTTACCAATTATTTCTCTGACATCTATCCATAACCAATAGAGGGTACTCTTAAAATCGATTAAATGCAATGTCTCAAAAAATGGATAATCTCCAATAAGAATTTGGAATTCTCCCTAGAGTGTTTTCCCATCAAGTACATGTCAGAATTTCATTTTTACATAGCTGATCGAAACATATTACCTAGAAATAATTTAGAAAGAATTTGAAAGACCCTTTAACACAATGCCAGACGAGACCACTTTCATTCCGGAGGAGGATTTCCCGGAGGTGTACAAGATTTGCAAGTTATTCAAACCGACCGACGACGATCTGGAAAAGATCAGGAATCTGATGGACCGTGAGATTACGATGGGTTTGAGTCGCGATCACCACGATCGCTCCACGGTTCCCTGTCATCTGAGTTACGTGCAGGATTTGCCAAGTGGCAGGGAGCGTGGTCAGTTCCTGGCCCTCGAAATGATGCCCACCAACTGCCGGATAATGCTGGTGAAGTTCAGCAGCGAAAACGATATATACACCAGTTCCAAGTGCGTGATAATGCCACATACAGTGGCAGCGGGACGGGGAACCGAGGTCTTCAGCTTCCTGGCCACCAGTATTGCCAACTTCGTGAAGGAAAAGAAAGTGGAGAAGGACAACTTACCCCTGGGCATCGCCTTCGCCTTCACCCTCAACAAACTGGCTTTGGATGTGGGCATCCTGGTTTCGTGGACCAAGGAGTTCGGAGCCCAAGGCGCCATTGGCAAGGATGTGGTTCATCTTCTCCGCGATGCTCTGGCCAAGTTCCCCGAGATATCCGTCGAAGTAATGGGCATCATAAATGTGGGAGCAGGATCCCTTTTGGCACTTTGCTGGGCTCAACCGGATACCCGAATGGGTTTGATAATGGGCAGTATTGCCAACTCCTGCTACGTGGAAAGGATCGAGAAGTGTGAACTCTACGAGGGTGAGGAGGACAGGAAGGTGATGGTGATCAACTCGGATTGGGCCCACTTCGGGGATAATGGACAGCTGGACTTTATTCGCAACGAATTCGATCGCCAGTTGGACAACGAGTCCATTACTCCTGGTCAGCGGCTCTACGAGAAGTTCAGCGGAGCTCTCTGCATGGGGGAACTGATCCGCATCATTGTGCTTCGTCTGATGAAAATGGGCGCCATCTTTGCGGAGGACAGGCGGGACTACATAAGCATCCAGTGGAAGTTGGACATGGTTTCGGTGATCGAAATAGCCTCTGATCCTCCAGGGGAGTTCACGAAGGCCCAGGAGGTGATGGACAAGTTCAGGATCCGCCACTGCAAAGATCGGGATCTGGCTGCCTTGAAGTACATCTGCGAAACGGTCACCAGTCGAGCGGCTATGGTAGTGGCAAGTGGCGTGTCCTGCCTGATCAACCGCATGAATCTGCCACAGATCTCGATCGCCGTGGATGGCGGCATCTATCGCCTGCATCCCACCTTCGCCACTGTTCTGAACAAGTACACACGCCAGCTAACCGATCCCAGGCTGAAATTCGAGTTCGTTATCACCCAGGACAGCTGTGGAGTCGGGGCAGCCATCATGGCGGGAATGGCCCATGCCAACAAGTACAAGACGGACACCAAGATGTTCCTAATGGATTACTAAGCCAAATACATCTGTATATGCATTCGAAACTAAGTTTTTCAATAAATATTATATATTATTTAGTATTTAGTTTTCTATATATTCCTTACAATATTGATATTCGATACAATATTTATGTTTGTTTGAAAAAGCATGAACACAGATTTGGGCTCAAATCTTGTCAAACCTTGTCATCTGGGAGAAAAATAAGTAGCCTTTTCACTTCGCCTTCACTCAGCATTACAAGCTTTCAAAATTTGCAAACATTTAGTTTGGAAAGTGAGGCCTCTGCTGGCAGCTGTGAAGGAACAATGCCGAGCCTTGTGAACCCGGAGGTGGAGCTGGCGGTCCGAGGCTTCATTCTCGACCAGGAGAAGATGGCCGAGGTGGTGGAGCGCATGACCAAGGAGATGAAGATGGGCCTGGCCAAGGACACGCATCCGCGGGCGGTGATCAAGTGCTTCGTGAGCTACGTGCAGGACTTGCCCACGGGCAAGGAGCGTGGAAGGTACCTGGCCCTGGATCTCGGTGGCTCCAACTTCCGGGTGCTGCTGGTCAACCTGCGAGGCGAAAGTGACGTGACCATCAATTCGAAGAGCTACGACTTTCCAAAATCCCTGATGACTGGATCGGGCATTGCTCTCTTCGACTTTTTGGCCGAATGCCTGGCGGAGTTCTGCATGGATCACGGCGTGGCGGAAGAGGGGTTGCCGCTGGGCTTCACCTTCTCGTTTCCCTGCCAGCAGCAGGGACTTTCGAAGGGCACCCTGGTGGCCTGGACCAAGGGCTTCAACTGCGACGGCGTTGTGGGTAAGAACGTGGTGGCTCTCCTCCAGGAGGCCATCGAGCGCAGGGGCGACATCAAAATCAACACGGTGGCGCTGATCAACGATACGGTCGGCACCTTGATGTCCTGCGCCTACTCACGTCCCAATTGCCGGATAGGATTGATCGTGGGAACTGGCAGTAATGCCTGCTATGTGGAGAAGACCGTGAATGCCGAGTGCTTCGAGGGATACCAGACGAGTCCCAAGCCCTTCATGGTCATCAACTGCGAGTGGGGCGCCTTCGGGGACAATGGTGTCCTGGAGTTCGTTCGCACCTCCTACGACAAGGTGGTCGACAAGGTGACGCCCAATCCGGGAAAGCAGACCTTCGAGAAGTGCATTTCGGGCATGTATATGGGGGAGCTGGTGCGCCTGGTACTCATTGAAATGATTACGAAAGGCGTGATGTTCCGCGGAGATAGCTCCCAGAAGATCTTCCAGCGCTGGAGCTTCAAGAGCGCCTACATTTCGGACGTCGAAAGCGATCCACCGGGAGAGTACCGTGCCTGCAATAAGGTACTCAACGATCTTGGAATTATTGGCAGCCAGGAACCGGATAAGGAGGCTTTAAAGCTGATCTGCGAAGCGGTTTCGTCGAGATCTGCCAAGCTGTGTGCCTGCGGACTGGTCACGATCATCAACAAGATGAACATCAACGAGGTGGTCATCGGGATCGACGGCAGTGTGTACCGCTACCATCCCAAGTACCACGACATGCTCCAGTTCCACATGCGGAAGCTCCTCAAGCCGGGCGTCAAGTTCGAACTGGTGGCTTCGGAGGACGGATCCGGTAGGGGAGCAGCTCTGGTGGCGGCCACGGCTGTCAGCAGCAAGAACTATAAATTATCAGTCTAACACCAGCACAATCTGAAATATAAACAAGGGAATCACAAAATTGTGTTGAAAAAATAGTACTTTAATATTATTTTGTCCAGTAAAACATGATTCCCTAAAAAATATTCTTCCAACCTATTTTAAAAGTAAGAAATAAACATGAACCTTTTCTATCAAGGATTTCAAATTTGGCGCCAAGATGTGCTGTTCCTTTTTAGCATGTGTGGCAACGCCAAATATTCAATATTTATCGATATCATTCACAGACGCGCAAGCGATTAATATTAAAACCACTCCAGCGAACAAATCGATAATAACACGATAGTATCGCATCAACATCGATTTTCGTTCCAGCTCTAATTATTATATTTATCTTGATTTTTACCAATTTCGAGGCAAAAAAGGAATCCTACGAGGTTTCCGAAGCCAAAAAAAGCTTACATCAGCTCCAGATAAAAAGGTAAATCACCAGGCAGGCCTTGACCCATGGATGTTGTCAAGATAAAACACAAAATACCCCAACTGGGGCTGCTTGAAAAGGCAAGGCCAGCTGCCCATTTAAGATTGGGAAAACATACAGAAAACCCAAGATGATTGCCCTAAACCAAATGCATCGGGCGCTGCAGAGCGAGGCGATTAATGCGGTGATTCGACTTTTCAGAGACGACATGTCCCAAGGAGGCAGTGCCACACCAGCGGGCGGTAATCCCACGGCGCTCCAAGCAACCGGAGGGGGCGTGGTCTTCAGCAAGGTCTTCATCCAACGGGACTACAGCGAGGGAACCTCCGTAAAGTTCCACACGCGACTGCCCGCCGAGCTGGAGGGCATGGTGGGTATTGTGTCTTTAGGAGCATAAAACCAGATAACCATAAGATGTACATATATCCTTTCAGATCGAAAGACACGTCTTCGAGGCCACCATCAACAGGCTAAATGAATTTTACGCCGAGGCGGAGGAGGGATCCTGTGGCACCTATTGCGAAGGGTGCATCGGCTGCATCACGGCCTACTTGATCTACATGTGCTCCGAAACGCACTACGAAAAGGTGCGTCATTGTGGCTGACAATTACCCTCTTCTGTGGTCAAAACAATAGCAGCAACTATAACCTGTAATTAAGTTTACTTTCTGTCAGGCTATTGATTTCCCCACAACCTGTCTACACCATCCCCTAATAATAATTCACCACCCCCACAGACCCTTCGCAAGATTTCCAAATTTGTGGCTTCCCAAAACGAACGCATTTACAACGCCAAGGGCCTGCAGCTGATCGATCCGACTTATCGGGGCCTCCGCGTCATAGAGATTACAATATTCGATCGTCCGGGGCGAACGTGACTTCCGATTTCTCATTCAGCCAACGAGTTTTTCATGTGAGATCCAGCAGCCACAATCGCATCAACAGGAGGGTAAAGGAGAAGCAGTCCGTTTCAGCAATTATCAAGCAAAAGTCAGCGCCATTGTGTGTGTTTCCAAAATCAATACAAAGCTGTGTAATCAGCTAAAGCTTTATAACCTATAACCATATGTGTGAGTAGCCGGCATGCTCCTTTTTGCCTCAGTTAACTCATCAGTTTACGTATCCTTACAGCTTGGCAGAGCAGCGGCCAGAGCGTCTTTGGGGCATGCGACTTAGTCACGGGTGTGCTGGGAGTCCGCCTCCGCTGCAGCCACATACGATATGCTAGATTAGCCGTTAATGATTAGCCAAGGCAGAGTACGGCCAGTTAGTTAGTATTTATGCGTTAGCAGGCATAGTCATGTAAGTGAAAAGCTACCGAAACTGCATTTTGAGCCGAAGCAAGCATCAACATATATACACATTCGCATATGTTATCATTGTTCTACCTATCAGACCGAAAGGCCAGCGAGAATTGATTGTTTTGTAATTTAAAGAAAGAATGAATATTGTATACATCTTGTTTGTAGTAGTTACTAACAATTCGATTGTCTAAGGTTTTACTTTTAATGGCATTACCATACATTTTATACATAGTTCAAGCTTAATCAGACAAAGCATACGCATAACGTTTTCTATACAAAACTCTTTACGATTTCAAACAGCGCCAAATGAACTTACACATAAACGAAATGGAGAATTGTTCGATTTTTAATATAAATGAGCAAGATTAACATAGTTATATATCTTATAAGAAAAAAATATATATTGCCGTCATATATAAACGTGCCTACAAATGTTTTTCTGCGGTTGGTAAACATTAAACGTCAAGCAAATAAGGAGAGTGTGCAAAATTTATTTTTGCCGATTTTCTATTGTGTTCTGATATTTGCTTTTCAGCTACAGCTATTTTTTGTTGTCTAATTGGGGGAATTTACGGATATATAAAGGCCTCCAAAGATCTGAGGAGCACAGTAACAATTGTTTCAACGCTAAACAATGAAGCTAACTTCCTATCTCTTGGCCCTGGTCCTGTTCGCCGGTTTCTTCCTGCTCCAGCCTTCTTCTGCCCAAACGAACTCCACCACAACCACCAACTCCACAACAACCACGACGAACTCAACCAGCTCCACGCCCACTGTCCACAGGAAACATTTCACGGCCACTAACATTCACTACACAATTGTCCGCAGGATCCATGTGAACAAGAAGAGGTCTGGTTAAAAAGAAGCGAGTCTACGGAACATTATGGAATGAAAAATAAACAGCATAAATAAACAAAAAAAAATAATTTGCTTAAGGTTCTTTTGTCAGGCTCACGGGCAAGGTCGATTGCAAATACCAACTTCGTTGAACTTAATTTTATTATTTGCCCACCAAAATTTTATTTTTGGAGGTCTTAAGACTATACATACTATTTATAAATTTAAAAATAAACTTTAATTAGCGAACTAGCGAACACTCTTTGCATTTTATTGGTTTTGTACATGGAGTGTAAACCAATTTTTTATTCCATATTATATTAAATGCAATTTTGGTAACATTTTGAATTCAAATAAAACATTGTAACTAAATATCTCTGTGTGGTAGTCGTATATTTTCGCCTAAGGCCTAAAAATGTACACCATTCTCTAAGATTTGCTATTTGTATATTTTTCTATATATTTTGTAAAGCAACAAATTCATACGGTCTTTCCTCTCTACTAAAATTCTACGCCAGTTCCTCCTGCGGATTTTCAATTTCCTTCGACGCACCAACAAATAAAACGACAATTAAATAATAGGCTCTTTTCCAGGTTCCATGAGTTCAAATGTGCGGCTTCCAAATCTGTCATGACATCCAGATTTAATCCCATTTTACTTGCCAGCATCGTTCATGTTCTTGGGCAAACTGAGCAGCGAGTTGATGAGCTCCGAATTGCGTTTCCTGATGGGCATGGATGGGCCCAAGGAGTTCTCCAGGATGAAAGGATAGCGGCAGATGGCGGCCACCTGCCCGGGAGTGAACTGTCCCACGGTGTTGAACCAGTCCAGGAAATCGCGGTTATACTCCTTGCGCACATAGCGCTCCTCATCCGGCATGGCCATGGTCCCAAAGGATCCCAGACGGGAGCAGATGGCCAAGAGCACCACGACCAGGATGTACGAGTATCGAGCCATTTGTCAGCAGCAAGCAGAAGGGATAAGCTGGAACAGGGACACCTACAGCAGGAGACTTGCGAATGAACGATGGCCAGAATATCCCCGACTTATATAGGACCCTCGGGCAAGGTAAACCTCTGCGGGAGACCGCGCAACCACGCAACCCAAAAGCGTCAGTATCGGTGTCAACTGCAGGACCAATACATGTCATCCGCAGTCCTCGTTGGTCCTCGAAGCCAGGCAAATAAGGAGTCAAGTTGGATCCACGCAAATATTTGATTATGCAGTGTTTTATGTGCCAACATGCAGCCAGGCAAGAACCAAATCCCATTCCGATCCAGGGATATTTGTTTGGGAAGGGAGCTTATTGGCGACACTCGCCGACACTTGAAACAAAGGGGTCACTAAATTAATTAATTCAGAAAAACGTCTCAAATAACAAAGGCAAAAATTAACCAAACTATTAAATTTAGTTCTATCAACAACTCTGTCAAAAATTCAGGAAATCCAGTGCATTTTACGAAACAAAATTTACTATTTTTTTTTTCAAGTGCTAGGTATGATTTAGAAGGACGCTCGTAAAAATACAATTCAGTGTTTTAATATCTAATTTAATAGTGAGCGGGCGGCTGTTGGTTCTGTTTGTGAAATTCCAGCTTGTTCTTTTGTTTGGTCACCAAACTGTGCAAATATGGCCAAAATTTTGTCCGTATACGTAATTGGCAAAAGCATAATATGCATATATTTGCTTAGCAAAGCCGTCTATTGTCTTGGCCATATATAAAACTCCCAGTCGGGGAAATGGCAAGCAACAGAGCACCAGCATCATACAGCATCACAAGATGAGGACAACCCAACTGGCACTAGCAATCCTGGTAGCATGCCTTTGCATTTGGCTAACCAACGGGGCCTCTTCGCCAACAAGCACGGAGTCCTCGACGACCACAACAACCACTGCTGCCACCACCACCACCACCACCACGACCACAGCGGCCACAACCACCACCACCACCTCCTCTTCGTCCTCGTCCTCCTCGAATGTTCGCCGCAAGCGGGTCACGATCAAGAACCTCAAGTACTCCATCAAGCGCAAGCTGCGCGTCTACAGGAACGGCACCTCCAGTTCCACCAGGAGCAGAAACAGGAGCCGCTCTGGAAGGCGCTCCAATGCCCGTCGTGGCGTCAATCTGAGACGCCGCAACCGAGGATAAGTTTTCATTTCCAAAAATAAAAACAAAAAAATTAAAAAGTATGAAAGATATTTGAAATGCGTGATCTGGCCGACCAAGTAAGTATCACTAGAAAGTGGCTGAACAATCCAAAAGCATTACAGTTTCAGTTTCTAATACCAGATTCATTAGTGAAATAATTCCTTATAAAGAATTTACGAAGATTTTTCTTGTTGAATTAGCCTTGTCCATTTAACCACCAAAGTAGCTATATCAAAATTAAGAGAAACAGTAAATGATATTTTTATACATTTCCTAAACTGTAAAGTTTTAAATCGTTAAAAATCATTTAAAAGCAAACGGTTATCATCGACTTAGACCACTAAATGTTTACCTCCTTTGTTTCAATCAACAGGTTGTCCGTCTAGCATGGTTGTGCGCAGTCAGAACGCGGCGATATCATCTTTTATCCCTGTTCAATGACTTCACGTGCGCCAAAAACATTGACCCAACTGTGGCCACATAAACGTAAACATCGGCTATATACCCGCAGGGAGGTTTTACGATGACTATAACTTTCCATGCAGCCATGTACATTACCACGCTTTTGATGGCCAAGGCTCGGCGTCGATTTGTTTGCACTGCATTTGTGACCAGACCCAAAATCCGGTGGGTGGAACTCGCTTGTTGGCCCTTCGTTCATCGTCCACCGTTTGCTGTCTTAAAAGTGAGCTGAAGCATTTAACGGTCGTGTGATTTCTAGGTACACATAAGTATAACACGCATGGGTTCGATTTCGTTTGATATGTCATCACCAGGAGCGTTTTAGCAAACGATTTTTTGCAGGGACAAAGTAAAAAAAATTGACCCAAAAATCGAAACCAAACTAATGACACAGGTTTTTAGAGAACTTCCTCACAAGCATTTTGAGATATGCCATACCAAAATCGGACATCATGCTGGTTTTGTGAAAAAGCCATTTTCTCGGATTTTTGATCATAAAAATGTGAAAAAATCGACCCAAAAATCTAAGCCAAACTAATGATGCAGGCTTTTGTAGAATTTTTTCGCAAGCATTTTGAGGTATGCCAATCCAAAATCGGACACCATTTAGAAAATTTATGGGCTTTTTTGCTGGTTTTGGGTCATTTTGTCAAAAAGACATTTTTCGGATACCTGGCATTTCAAAAAAATTGGCAAAAAATGAACTTACCCTAAACTTAGAGGAACTCCAGTAAAAAATCGGAATAAGTTACGAGATTTACAGGTCCTCCGATTCGGCCCTGAAAACACGAAATGGTTCGTCCTGAACTCACACAGGAACACCGGGACAGGGGTCCGCGGCCATTCACCAATTACGCGCCATTCGCTGCGGTGTCCTTAATTTCTTAAAAAGCGTTTAAGCATCTAATGAAAGCATTTGGGGCCCAGCGATTTCTGCCATCGGACGACTCAGTTGCGTTTGCCTTTTCGCCGTGTGCGGTTCGGTTTTGTTTGGTCCTGACTGGCGAGCTGCAAGGAGCGACCGTCGCAGGATTATGTCATTGCAGCCATGGCCAAGATAATCTCCACGATCAAGGCCATCCTTACGAGGATCATCTTCAGTGCGCACAGTTTGCTGGCCATTTGGCAGGTGGTCGCCATCAAAAGTGATATCAAATACTGGGCGCTATGTGGTCCTCTGGTGCTGCTGCTGCTCGAGGGCATCTTCACAATCATGATCAAGAAGACACAGGAGTGGCGCTGGTAGGCATCAAGTCTAGAGATCCTGATTCATCTTGGTTCCCGAAATGTAAACAACAATCGGCCGATGCTGACGTCATGGCGCGGGCTTTGATTTTCAATTAAAAGTGAAATCATGTGTTTAATGTGTGGCTAACCTTACCATCACCCTCCTATAAAAGCCACCCACTCGGAGGCCACACCTCCACACTCCGAAAAATAAACCTCCAGTTAAAAAAACATTTAAGGTTTTTATTGATTTATTGTTCGAGGAACTAAAAACCAAATTTGTGCCTTATTTGGTAGAATTTTCAGATTGGTCTCGATATAACCAATATTTACCCATAAAGTAAAATCTAACATTTTAATCTTGGTGCAGTATACTGCTATCAAAGTGGACAAAAATACTACAGCATCCAAGCTTAAAAAATATAGTTTTTGTTTTCATTTATATTTTCTGCTTGTTAGTATTTTTCTTTTGAGTGTATTATGTCCACCCAACGCACCGTAATAGTAAAAACTTTAATGGAATTTCTTGTGGAGCTGGTGGGCTTGGATGGAGGAGGAGTGGTCTTTCGATTTCTGTTTACCTTTCGGCGCATCACTCAGACTTGTTGTTTGTTTTGCCCGTTTTGCTTTGAAAACTCATTTGTGTCCTTTGCCTGCAGGTTCTGCCCCTCGGTGTTTCTTTACCTGAGCAGCATTGTGCCGGCGATTTGGCTCCTGGAGCTGGACAAAGTTGCCCGGCGAGTGGCCAACCTAACTCAGACCAACTCGACTGTTCCCAATCCGAGTAACTTTAGCATTCCCGGGGGAAATGTGACTGGCTTTGGTCCCAGTTCCAATCTGAATGTAAATAGTAGTGTTCCTCCGGTAGCTACTCTTCTGGGTCAAGCCGGGGTCACCCTCTCGGTGACCCCAGACACTTGGATAACCCTCATCGAGCAGTTTCTCATGCTCATCCTGATCGTAGGTCGTTGGCTTTTGCCGAAGGGGGATCTTACCAGGGATCAGCTCAGTCAACTGCTTTTGGTTTACATTGGCACTGCGGCGGATATCATTGAGTTCTTCGATTCGTACAAGGACGACTCCATAGCCATGATCCACAATCTGGTTTTGCTGACACTGGGTATTTGGTCCTGGAGCCTCATGCAGTTTACTATTGTTCTATCCGCTACAAGAGGACGAAGGCCGAGAGGCAGTGGATCACATCACAAGGAGGAGTGAGTAAAATTATTGAATATAAAGAAAATTATTATTGAATTTATTTATTTTGAACTTACAGCCATTCAGACTGTTGCCAAAATTGCTGCTGTGGTATTGATGTTTGGGGAATCGTACTCAATGTGATACTGCAGGATGCCCCCTTTCTCACCTTTCGTTTGCTGATAATCTTTCAGTACACCATCATAAACTACATGAATGTCTTTTTCACATGTAAGTTGTGCTTGTAAGATAACTCTTTTTCCATATTAATACTATTTTATTTTCAGGCAAGAACTCTTTGGTGATAATCCTGCAGCTCTATCGGCTCTACGTGGTAAATGCCGAGTTCTGGAAGAATCGTCGTGAAAGTCGGATGACCAAAGCGAGGCAGTTTCAATCCCGCCGGAAAGTGCAGGATGCAGATCAGAATAGTATTTATATGATATCGAATGAGCGGGGTGGCGATGTCAAGAAGAAAATCAAAAAGTGAGTGTTGAATAGAAACAAGAAAAATATTGGATTAAACTGTATATTTAGGGCCAAGGACAAGGATTATGCTGAGGAGGCGGTGTACAGCAAAAAGAAAAAGGACAAGAAGGATAAGTGGGTATTGATTCATTATTTTCCAATCTTTAGATTAACCCTCTAATTACAGGAAAAAACGTAAGCGCAAGGACACCGGATACTCGACGGCCAGTTCGCAGAATCTCTACTCCACAAAGGCGAGTGGCACGGATAAGGAAACCCGTCGCAAGGACAAGAAGGCCAAGAAGTCGAAGCGCACCTGCAGCAGTTCGCCGAGCGATTGCGACTTGGCCAAGAAGCAGAAGCGCGGCAAGAACGCTGACAAAAACGATAAGAAGTAGGTAATACCTCGGGCTTAAAGGGGTTATCCTGTGATTGTATCTCTGGCTCGCCCGCAGGAAATCCCGCAAAATCGAGGCTGTTGTGGAGGAGTCGAGCAGTTCGAGCAGCAGTAGCTCCGACTCGAGCAACTCCACTTTGCCCAGTTACGAGGTAATCGACGAGAAGAAGGTCAAACGGAGGAAGCACCGCGGAAGCAGCAGCGACACCAGCTCCGATGACAGCAGCTCCTCCAGCTCTTCGTCCTCCAGCTCGGACTCCACGTGAAGGGGGGACTTTTTTTGGAACTAACGCCAGACGTTAGGGAATCTGTTTTGTGGCAGTCACTTTTGTACTTTCAAGTGGCAAGGACACTCTGCTCCTGAAGCGCAGATATTTTGTATGACCCCCAAATGGGTAGTCGAAATTGTATCAGTAACGCATCGAGTTCTAATCATGAAACTATTACAAGCAAAAACAATATAATACACTATCATATTTATTAAGTTGAAGTTTGTTCAATTACGGTTGCCTTCAATAGTCTTTGATTGTATTTTGAAAAGGTGATATAGCTTACTGTTTAGCTTAACGATCACATAATCATTATTTTACGAGCTTGCTTTAATTATTTTCATGGTTAGAGCTCGATATATTTTGATATATTTGTACCTATAAACTAAACTATGATATATTTGAACGAATAATAAAGGCGCGGGTTGCTCTGCGATGAGTTGGCAGCTTCGTCACGATTATAATGGAGCTCTTTTGAGTTCTCTCTTTTTTGGGGGCTTCTCTTAGCTGTAAATTCTCTTTGACCCATGAAAAGCTTAGCAACGCGAACAGCTGCTTAACTTTTGTTGACACACAGATAGCTCTGGCAGTATTTGTGTGAGTGAGGGGGCAGTGGAGGTTCGTGGGGGGCTCTTGTTTGCTGTCTGTTGGAGATTTTTCGTGAGCGTGTACTTTTGTAATAGCACAATAGTTGCTGCCGAGCGTCCCAACGCTGCGGACGCGTTTACGCCTCGTTTTTTGTACGCTTTTGAGGAGCTCGCGTAACGCCGAGAGCTTTGTTGTTGTCGAGTGTGTAAGTTGCAGAGTGTGAGTGAGCGTGCTTTGTCGAATCCACCACATATATACCTTGATATATATACGGACGATATATGGTTGTGCCTATTAAGAACGTTCTAAAAAGAACTCTTGAATATGTCCCCAAGTGCTGTCTTTCAAAGTCCTCTTTTCTGGTACACTAAAACTACTTCCCTACCACTTAATAAGTGTGCCAAAACAAACAGAAACCTTATAAACTATTCACAAGCCAGGCGAAAACAGTTGACAAGCCGATTAAAAATTAAACGACAATAATGAAGCAGGTGTGAATTCGGTTTTTTTTTCGTTGTGAATAACTTAATTAATACTTGTTACGAGGCTCACGAATGTTTGGCGAATGCATTTCGTCACAGATACAGAGCAAAATGCTCGGACAAATTGGCTCATCGTGGTATTGTTCACCCTACACACTCGGACTCTATATGTGTATATATCTTAAGGGGTGGACTGGACTTTACTGGAGAATCACGAACCCAAAACACGTTCGCGGCCTTTAAATTCACAAATTATGGCTCCTTGGTCGGTTCATTTCGTTTTCATTTCATTTCTTCTTCGGAGTTGTTGTTACCTGGGCACGCGTGCTGAAGGTTAAGGTAGCTTCCAGTTTCAACTCCCACTCCCCCCTTTGCCACCAACCACCACGTGTTGTTTTGTTTTCCTATTTTGTTGTTTTTGCGTTTTAACCACCTAAACCACCGTGAAACGCAGCTTTTGTACGAGAATCCCGCTCTGTCGAAGAATCTCTGAGAAAATTCTGTGGCTCTCAGTTCTCATTTTGCCGGTTTTCAGCTGAGAGACTGAGTGTGAGCAATTGTGGAAAAACCGGGGGAAACGGCAGCTCAGTTACAGAGAGAGAAAACTGGGAAAATCATTTTTATATAAGTAAGGTATTTTTGTATCTGTTTAATCGATTTTTATTGACTTAAAGATATTTAGTTGATTTTTAAAGCAATTTCTATAAATAATTAAATAGCCAACATAAAAAAATACTATGATAAACAATTAACATACGATAAAATCAAACCGAAACGGTGTATATGTACAAATCTATTTTCATCACACCTGAAATTTTCTTTACACCAAACGTTTAGTTGCCATGCCAAAATAAACTTTTCAAGCAGAAAAACAATTTAAACGGACATATCCAGATATTTTTCGGGCGTGTAATAATTTATGTTTTTGTGACCAAAGTCCACAGCTGGACGGCAACAGTTGCCAAGGCTCAATCAAAGCAACCCATTGCAGGATAGTAATTAATCTCTATTGCGTAGCTTAAGCCATTCGGAAAAACATACTAATTAGAGGATTGCTTGTCAAAGGTCGTAAAACATGTCAATAAACACCCAACCCCCCTCAAGGTTATTAGGGGTCAGGGCTATTTGTGGTACAGTTCCTCGTCTTCAGCGGCAACAGCATCACCTGATAGAACCTTTTCAGTATGGCCTGATCCATGCTCTGCAGACAGTATCTGCCCAGATACAGATATACATAATCTAAATGAATTGCCGCTAGTGGCTTTGCATAACTCGTTTTCGAGCTGGTTGTTAAACCGCTTTTATGAAAATTATACAAACGTATTTCCAAAAGTGAAGATGATTCGCAGCTGGGGGCGGAGGCCTTTGTTTGGATGTGAGGGGAAATAAATATCACTTCAATTGTTTACCGAATCAACATGAGATTCTGATTAGTTATTACAAACAAAGCGACGGATAATGAAAGTGGCTGATAAAAACCATCCATCCGATTGGTTTTCGTGGTCGTCAGCTGGTTATCGCTCGTCTCTTTATTCGCCTTTGTTGCATATATAATTAAAATATTCGTGCTTAAGCGGAAGACAAAAGGATAAACTGAACATGATTTCCCGTTGTCTTGCGACCCAGTTAAGAAACGGCCTTCCGCGGTTCAATGCTTATCGTTCAGTGACCCATTAATGGGCTAAAATTAATAACCGCATAATGTCGCTCCCTCGCTACTGACCTTTTCTGGTCGACATCTGTTTTACGAGTCGGTTTATTGAGCTTTCGGTTTCGACGTTTTATTGCTCAAGTACAACCCGTGAAATCAAAATGCCTATCTTATCGCCGTGCATAGTTCTTGAACCTGAAAAGCGCTTTTCTGATTAACCCTTTAATTAAAATGAGACGATTTAAATCACGGGTAAAAGTCGGATAGATATCCACATTAAAATATGCGCATTGATTCGGAGCGTTATATAACATTATGTCATCGTGAACCAATTCGTTGGTGTTGTGCTGTGTCGTTTGTTCCAGTTTATTGCACACTTTACACAATGATGGGGAGCACAAGCAGGTGAATTACTAGACCATTGGAGCATGCGATCTCTGTCACAAAATTCGCCAGTTCACGTGGCTGCAACATGCGACAAATTAATTAGCATGCCGGTCGCCTTGCGTGCCTCGCTGGCCATTCTCCCCAACCAACATATATTGGCCTCTTGCCAATCGCATCCAATCCCAGCTATTATGCATAATAATAGCCCATTTCCAGCTGACAAATGTGCACGCGTTTAGCGGCTTGTTGGCCAGCAATTATGCATTATAGATTGCATTGGACGCCCATCCAATAATAAGCGATAATGGTATATATGGGTCTCACATTTCCAAACCCTTCCTCTGGTTGCCTCTATTGTTGACAAGCCGCACCAGTTGCAACTTTTTTCAATAAAGATACGCAAACAAAAGCGAAGCCAACAGCGACTGCATTTGGTACACCAACGATAAATGCTGCTGACCAAAGTCCACGCGGCGAATGAGTAACCTCGACAGCCAGAGTTCGAATCAAGCATACGCCCAGTTGGCGGAACCGGTGATCGAGAGAAGCGCTGTGCGGCGCACAAGCATGACCACCCCGACATGGTCAACTGCAGCGGCCGCTCTCCCTAGTTATATGCATATTACACAATAAAGTTTGCAGTTCTTGTCGATTGGCGTTAGATAACAATACGAGAGAACTTCGGACAGTAAATACTCAAGAAACCATATTGAAATACACTTTCGCACCTTAAAAAATTCACTTTATAATAAGAAATTTAGATATCATTTATTGCATTTAAGGTTTCCCTGCATCTTCGTGCCATGAGTCTATAAATAAAAACAGACCTTTAAAAATAGTTACCACGGTAAAAGAAAACTGCATTTTAAATTTCCTCCACATATTGATTTCGTACTATCGCGGCCAAAAGATCTGAAACCTCCCGTGCACTGAATGCTAAACAGATACTATATACTATTCGGTCGCCATAAAAAGTGCACCTCCTCGGCTCGTATAACAATAGACTGGCACTTGATTGAGCTTATCTGGGCATTAGCATTTTATGGGCACTATAAAGCATACTAAGTACGGTTTGTCCGAAGAGTTCGCAACCCCCTTGAATTGGTTACGGAAAAATAAATAAATTCGCATATGATAAGAATGCCTGGACATCTGGCCCATCCAATTAATTTAGTAAATTTCCATAAAATCAATTTGGCTGGCTAAGCCATAATGACGATGGCTATCAGAGCCCGGCATTAAGATTAGACAACTTTCTTGTCACTCAATTAGTTAGAGCGACACAAACACTTTCGCACTTGATGAAACAATGAACGATAAGGAACGTTGTGCCAAATGAATTGAACTTTCCGTTGTCTCCAATTTACTAAAGGCAGACAATTGTCCGTTGCCCAGCCACTTCAGGCGCAAGTATTTGCATTAAATTCACTATTGCAAGTGCCAGTACTTTAGGGGCTGGTTCGACCGCAAAATTCCAGGCCTTTGCAAACGGTAATATCAGTCGGGTTGAGATTTCCATAGCGAGCGGTTTGCATTTCTCCGGCATCGAGTCTCCGGCATCAAGTGTAAGTTGAGTGGCTTGTCATTGTCGTAACTGACATTCTAACTTGATGAATTCCATAATATGTGATACAAAGATGTTATTGCAATTTTGCATGACGGACAGTCAACCACCGGTTTCTCGGTTTTTCATATATATATCGAGCGTGCCAGGCGCCTGCAGCATATTGCGGCATTTTTATACCCTTGCAGAGCAAAAGGGTATTATAATTTCAGTCAGAAGTTTGCAACGCAGTGAAGGAGACACCTCAGACCCCATAAAGTATATATATTCTTGATCAGCATCACCATCTGAATCGAAATATGTATGTACGTCTGTCCGTCTGTCCGTCTGTCCGTCTGTCCGTCTGTCCGTCTGTCCGTCTGTCCGTTTCCGCGCAAACTAGTCTCTCAGTTTTAAAGCTATCTTGCTGAAACTTTCCCAAAAGGTGTGTAGTTATTGCACGCAGTATATAAGTCGGAACGGGCCGGATCGGCCGACTATATCGGATAGCTCCTATACGAGAGAATGAAATTAAAAATTCTTACTCCGTTGTTTTTGATCAGATCGACTTGAATTCTTCAAGATGGCGTTTTCTAACTGTTTTTGAATTTCGGATTAAATTTAAACAAAATCGGATAACTCTATCATGTAGCTGCCATAGGAGAGATCAAAAAATATATATAGAATTAATTGAAATAAATTGATAGCATCGTTGTTTTTTATCCCACGAGCATGATTTTTTGAGTATCAAGTTTTTTAACTAGCCTTGGTTTTTTAAAAAAAATTTCATAAAAATCGGACAACTATATCATATAGCTGCCATAGGAAAGATCGAAAAATCTATATAGAATTAACGGAAATAAAATGATAACATCGTTATTTCTCATCAGAAAATCATGATTTTTGGAATATAGAGTTTTCTAACGACTCTTGAATAGCAAATAAAATTTCATTAAAATCGGACAACTATATCATATAGCGGCCATATGAACAATAGTCAAAAATATGGAAAACTAATAGAAAAGTCGTCGTAGCTTTGATGTTCTTTAGCCTTTGTGTATTCTGTTCGAAATATTTGATGACTGCAAGGGTATATAAGCTTCGGCTTGCCGAAGCTAGCTTCCTTTCTTGTTCCGCTATAAATAGCAGCGAATACAACGCGATGAGAGTGTTTTCCCTCGATGAGTTCTGTGTTCTTTACACGGCGACCCTCAACTTGAACCTTTTGCCACAACCTAAGGGCATTTTCAGTGGCGCACATCAGTGTCATTATGCCGCAGCAGAGTACAATATATATTAGACATTGGTTGCTTTCCCGTTTAATTGGATTGCAGTGGCAGGGGAACTTTTGTCGTAAATACCTTTGTTTTCTTGATGACAAAAACATTTTACAAGCTAAATTAAACAGCGCACTAATGATTGTGTGGTTCGAAAACAATTAAACGAAGAAACGACCCATTCAAACCATTTGGGATACGATTTTTTTATATTATATTAACAGTGGTCAAAAAAATAAATTAATTACAAGAACCGTCCATTAAAAAATCCAGGAAAAATATTCCTAATGCTTTAAAGCGCAGTAATATTTTCTTCAAATTTCACATTTTTTCTTGTTTATTTTTTTTTTATTTTGCTCTGCAATTCGAGTTTGTCCTTCGTGCTATTACTGTTATTACACCCGGCCCACGTGTCGTATAAGCAATTCAGTGCAGGGCACCGTCAAGTGAACATGTATTTTTAGTCACTTTTCCCTGAAGTGGTGAAAACAGAGAGCAGGAAACCGTCGAGAGACTGCACTTGACTCAATTGTTTTTAGCCAAGAGACCATCGCTTGCATTGACTTATTGCAAAAAGTGCCTAACCTATTAACAATTTATACGATTTCTATGAAATTGCAGATAGCCCTGCCAGCAACATGTTGGATGCGAATTAATTGGCCCACAGCCAGTTCTTCGAAAACAGCAGGAAGTTGGGAAATGTTTGCCAGCGTTTCAGAGCCAGCTCAAGAATCATATGCCTGCAATGGCAATTTCTCAGTGGAGGACGACGCCCCAGAAATCAAGAACCTAAAAAACAATAACCAAAGCGCTGAAAGAAGGGAAACTAGAAGCCACGGTTGCTTGGAAGACGGTTCACCGATCCAAGAAATCGATGAACACTACGTTTGCGACATTGCCATGATGCGAATCGGTGGGGAGGAGAGCCTCCCGGTGACACACAATGCGCCAGCGGATGAGTCATCCAGTTCGCTGGCCAACAATGACAGTACAAACAATGAGAACGATGTGGAGATCGATCGCCAGGAGGAGGAGCAGGCGGTCAGCGATCTGGTGCGATCGAGTAGTGCCGGTGCCCTCATGGAGGCGTAAGTTTACCTATAAATCTTTTTGATATCCGAGATTAACCCCTTTGAATCCCCTTCAGAGACAGCAAAAATGGTGGCAGCATGAGAGTGGTGTTTGGCATCCTAGTGAGACTGGTTCTTCCACTGGCCAATGGCGTTGCCAGGGGCATTAAGGGCATTCGCGATGTGCGGGTGTTGAGGGTGCTCCAGAATCTGGCCTCCAGCCGACAGGCTTTAACCAATTTAGTGGCCTTTGCCGCCAACACTATATCACTGAATCTGTCCTCCGTTCAGGGTGAGTCTTTTTATTTATAGAAAATGTGTGACAAAGTTCGGTGGACTAGATTTATTTGCTCTTGATATGAGTCCATTTAAATTTCATCAAGTTTGTTTGTGAAGGTTATATTAAATTCCCTTCAGGCTTTAAAACACAATCTTGAATCCCAAGGGTTTTTATATTCATATTTCCGAATTTTTACTTGCTTAATATTCATGCTGTGCTTTCTTATTAAAACCTTTTCTCCTTCACAGTTTCCAATCGCATGGGGCCCTTACTGAAGCTCCTGAAAATGCGCAAATCGCAGGATGGCCTTGAGAGTCTTCCAGACACCTTAACTGCTCCATCCACTCCCTGCACACCGTGTCCAACTAGCAATCCCTTGCAGGGTCCGCCCATTTACAGCGTTCGCTCGGATGCCCCCAGCTGTTGCACCATCAATATTCTTGCCGAACCGCCGCCGGGTCAACCCATTCGGGCAGACATAGTCCTCATCCATGGTCTGCATGGCTCCTTGGTTAATACTTGGAAGCAAGGACTCTGGCAGAACGATCGCCAGCCGGTGGAATTCGAGAGACCTCCTCGACCCCCAGTTCGACCGCCAAAGAGGCCTCGTCACTCCCGCAGTGCGGCAATTCATCCGGCTCCCCGGGAGAAAAGGGCCAAGTTTACTTCCCTGAACCGCTGCCAGGACACTCCAGACGATGCTCCTGTAAGGCAGAGGACTCGACTCCAGCGAGCCGTGGCAATGCACCCAGAGGACTTCCAATTTACTGCTTCCGATAGCGATGATAGCGAGTAAGTTGAAAATAAGAGTTTTCTATTCGAACGGAAAAGTTCAAAAAATCCCGAAACTAAATAGTTTCTATAACATATTTCTAAGGCATTAAATTTAATTTGTTTTTTTTTCCAAAGCTATGCTTATGTGTGCGGCGATCCAGAAGACATCCAGATCTGCGAGGGCATCGAGTACAGCTTTCCCACTTTCCGGCTGAGAATGCAGGACAACAGCCGCTTGCTCCAGGCCGAATTGGAGTCCATGCTGCAGGCCAATGGAAATGAGGACGCGGAGACCGTTGGGAAGGAAAGCCGCCCACGTCCCGCCTCCCCGGCCACGCCTCGCAAGCCCGCTCGCAAAAGCAAGCCGTCGCCCAATGATCCAAATTACTCCAAGTGCTGGCCAGGAGATTGGCTTCCCTTGGATTGTCCTGGGGTGCGGGTAATAGCCCTGAACTACACCACAGATCCGTATCTCTGGCGGCCTTTGTGGAAGAGAAAGGAGCAGAGGTCCAGTTTGATCCAGCGCTCCCGGGAAATGGCCGAGTTGCTCATCCAACATCGCGTGGGCCACGGTCACCCCATAATCTATGTGGGCCACTCGAAGGGAGGCCTCTTCATCAAACAACTGATGGTGGATGCCTGGGAGAGCGGTCGTCCTGCGATGTCTCCTCTTTGGCGATCCGCCCGCGGTTGCTTCTTTTACTCGGTGCCTCATCGAGGTTCCCACTTGGCGAGCATCAAGGCGCCTCTACTTTCGCGATCCGTAGAATTGCTGGAGATTGAAAAAAGTGAGATTATACGGTTCAAGGCTCTTATCAGATCATATAATATGTATATTTTCCCTCAGATAACAAGTACCTGCTGGATCTACATCGGAGATTTGCGGGACTTTATCATCTGGGTCATCTGAAGATCGAGGTGTTTAGTTTTGTGGAGACCGCCTTGACGCTCATGTCAGTGCTTTATTTACGCATAGTGGGAGTGGACTCAGCGGGTAAGTGGTTATCAATATGGAGCCTATTACGATTATCATAGTTTCTTATCAAAATAGTAACGATAATGAAAACAGTTTCTTGAAATCATAATTTATTATCACTAGAAAAAGTATTGACTATAAAGTCACCTTTCATTATCAAGGGCAAAAATAATGATAATGAAAATAGCTCTCTCTAGTTTAATTTTTTCAATGGAATTCGATAAATATAACTAAATTTATCTTTATATAGTTAAATTAATTTGGCTAACTAAATATTAATCTTTTTGTTATCCATAGATCCTGGCATTGGCGACGTCTGCGGAATTCGACTCGATCACCGCGAGATCTGCAAACCTCGGGGACGTGATTGTATTTTGTACAAAGAACTAGTGAAAATGATTGAGAAGGTGTGCTGAGCATTCGGCCTTACTGAAATGCACTGTATGTAAAAGTATAATGTATTGCGGACCTGATCCATTTGGAACCGAATTGTGAATAGAACCGACAACTCTGAAGTGTCATGATAATTACGCGTACCTAATGTGATGCCCCAGCATCCAACTGGGGCATGCTTAATGTTAAAGCGTCGCTTGTCGATTAAATAGATCCTAGCATAGTTGTTTCATAAACTTTAAATCGCCTATCCATAGCTCAAGTTAGTTATACACTTTTTGTTGCCTCTAGTTTAAGCTTAATACGAGCAGATGAAAAATGCTTAAACATGCCATCGGGCGTCAATGATAATTTTGCAATTTTTGTGATCGATTGTGATCATTTTTGTAGCACTTTGTTGTGATGATCCCTCAACCACCCGTGAATACGTTATTGATATTGTACCATACCATACATATGTTTAGAATTTGTTAGTTATATGAATTATCTCTATCTGTATACCGAAATCTACACCGCTGTAAAATGTTACCAACGAAGACAAAATTTATGCATATTTGATTTCCCACAAATATAATTGATCCATGTTTTGTACCTACATAATAAGAATTAAATTACTAAAACCAATAAAGAATTATATTTTATAAATCAATTAACCAGTAATATTATTGTTTAATTCCAGAGACAAACCTTTTGTAATCTTTAATATTCATAGGATCAAAGACATATCATCGCAAATCAAACACGTTTTTTATGTTTTCCATCATAACTTATTTTGTAGTATATTTTCCAATAGTTAAGGTTGCATTCATTTCTTCTTCGCCTTATCTTCTGTTTTCCTAAACGAACATTTTCGACATTCTTCTCTTAGACTCTTTAGCAGTGCCAATTTTTCTTGTCAATATTTGGCCTGGTTGTTTGGTGGTTGCCAATTTACTTGCATCGAAATCTTTAACACGGATCGTTGGCAGCTTTGTTGCTTCAAATAATTAATTTCGCCTGCATGTACAATGCATGTAAATTGCATAAAAAATACATTAGTTCGTTTGTTCAGTTATGAATAGTTTAAATATTCTGCTCTAATTGAAAAACGAGGAAACCAAGCCTAAATACGTTATAAAATTTAGTTGTTTGCCACTCTACTAATGAGGTATACAAAACGTGGACTTAAATGCGAACTAAAAATACATAAATAAAATTAAACGCATATTTAATTTTAGGTTTTTATGAGTAGACTTAGTAGAGAGTGTGCTAGGAGCAGCAGTTTTGCCAAAGATAAGAACATAATAATTGTTTGCTTACAATTTTAGTGGACTCTTAGTTATTGAGTGGTTTCCGTTGGCCAAAAACCGTTGCAAAAATCGCAATACGCGTTTCTATGTCTTCCTAATATTTAATTTCTTTATCTCTTTATTGTTTTTGCGCTTAAATAATTTAAACATTTATCACATCCACTTACACGGCGATCACAATCGCAGCTATTTTACTTAATTTCTCCATTTCTCCTCCGCTTTTTATCCTCGTATTTCCTTTTCCTTTCCAAACACGTACATTTATATAGATTTCTTACGTCTAATAATATAACTTTAGTACATAAATTTTCTTGTTGCCTTTTGCTGCATATAATAGTTTTAGTTAATTTTCGTTTTCTTAATTTTCGTTACGTTTAAAATTGATTTTCTTTTTTCGTTTTATTATTTTGTTTTGTAGGAATTTTGAGTTGTTCTTTCGGAATATACTTTGTGTGTATTTAAATGCTTTTCGTAGGTTAATTTTCATTTTGTGGCTTTGTTTTTTTTTTTGCATGCCCATTCGTTTGTAAACTGTTAAACTATTCGGCTACACAAATCGAGACTTCTTTTGGCGACTCGTAAATGCAAAGTCTGCGGCTTTATTCACCTTGAACACAAACTAGATTGTTTATTTACGGATGGCCTAAGTTGGGCTGGAAATCGCAACTAACTGGGTTCGACGTGAGTCTACTTTGAGCGTTGCTTCTGCTTGAGTGGAAAGGTACTATTGTTTATAGTTGTTGGTTTTGTTCTGCCTCAGGGATCTTAAAGGTTACCTTTTGCTATTTTAATTATTTGTTGGTATTGCACTTAGACTCTAAAACGTATACAGTTACAGTTTTCAAACACATTTCATTCACATCGAATATATATATGTTTATATATATATATACTTCTTCGTATTTTCTGTTAATCCTTTAAACGTGTCTGTGTGTTGTGTATCTGTGACTTGCATACGCCTGTGGAATGTATCTTCTATAGTTGGGTTTTTGGGGTGTGTATGTGTGTACGGTTTTGTTTCTGAATCTCGTAACAATTTTTGCATCTCGTTTCACGGCGGACAACAGTTCACAAAATACATCTTCATACTCGACAAATACTCGTTGTGGGCCACTGCTTCAGCTTTCCCTAACCCTATCAAAAATAATATCAGTGGAAAGGAGCAGGAGCTCGGGGCATGTGTTTTTGTTTTTTCATTTGGCGTAGCTACAGGTTCTGTCGAGGTACGATTGGTGAATTTCATATATGTTACAGTACGGTTCGCAATAGGTTGGATCTAGTGGCTTATTATAAAGTTATGCAATATTGGCTGTGTGCACAAACTGGAATTGTTTTTGGGGGATAGAGTGAATGTGTTTGAGGACGAGAGCACAAAAACAAGAATGCAAAATGAATATAATCAGGTACATTTGATATATCGGTTGTGTAAACAAAACAAAATGCAGCAGTAAATATGCGGAAATTAAACATTAAACACTTCGCTTAAAAAAGTCTACAAATATATAAATAAAATAAAATTACAAATATTATTGAATAGATTACGTTTTAAATCGGAATCGATGTGAACACTTGTGACTATTGTGGTATTTGAGTGAGTGGTTGGTTGGTTGGTTGGATGGTTGAGTGTGGGCTATTGCAGTGTTTGTGGTTTTTTGGCTGTTCTGTTTGCGTATGTATTTCTACTGTATCAGTGTAATTGAATTTTTTTGCGGCAATTGCTAGCAATTGTTAAACGTAGTAATTATCGGCGACAAATATTGTAATGCATACTTGCGGGCTGCGCGGTCTATTGCTATGTATGTATATTTCTGTGTGTTTACATGTGTGTGTGTGTGGGTGTGCATCGAAAGCAACAATAAATTATGTTTATGTGTAAGAGAAGTTACGAGTAAAAATTAGCCTCAATTAACGAAAAAAACAAACAAAAACTAAACAAATACAAAAGTATAGCATACAACTTAGCGTACATGTTTGTATACGTGTGTGTATAAATATCAGCTTAATTAATCATTTCTCCCATAGTTCCATAGTTTCAGTTACTGAATATTTACATTTATAAAATGTACTCTTTATAAATGCTAACGACGCCACCTGTACAGTGACCTCTCGTCTCCATGTCTACATACATACATATATCTTCTTTTGGAATGTTTCGAGCTGTGAATGTAATTACGTAATTCTCGCTTTCATTTGTTTTTGTTTTGTTATGTTTTGTTTTGCTTTGCTTGCTTCTATGTGGTAGCTTCATAAAAATACTGCTTGCTTCACCCATTGGGATCCACCTGGGCCCGTCGATGGACCACCGTCGCCGCTGGCCAGGACTGCTTGACCCCTGTCGAATGGTTAACGGACGCTGGCCCGTTGGCAGGAACTATGGATGCATTGTGGCTGAACGAGATCGGATTGCCATTGCCTCGCGGCTGGCGCTCCTTGCCAGTTGCCGACTTCTGGCTGGTGCTGCTGCTGCTCTTGCTGCTGCTGTTCTTGCTGCTGCTGCCGTTGCTGCTGCTATTGTTGTTGTTCGTGGTGGTGGTGGTTGTGTAGGCACCGCCCGCCTTCGCCACATCGGCGGGCAGCTTGAAACCGTTGGTGAGGCACACGGCCGCGTATTCCCTCTCCGAGGTGGGTGTCAATGTGGCAGCCGCCTCCTCCTCCGCCAGCAGGCAAATTCCATCGTTGGAGTTCGAGTGCCTCACGAAATTGGTGTGGAATTGTTTTTTGCTGCTGCCATTGCTGCTGCTGCTGGCACTGCTGCTGCTCAGACTCCCACTCCTCCTGCTGGATCCACCACCTCCTCCGCCGCCTCCTCCTCCTCCTCCTGCCACACCCAACCCCGGCATGGTGGTCACCAGGGGCAGGGAATTGGGTGGCACAATAACCTCCAATTCAGAACCACTGGCCACGGCACACTGTTTGGAGCTGCCCAGAGCCACGGCATTGGGTGGCGTGTGCCTGTAGGGTATGTAGAACGCCTTTGCCTCCTGCAGCATGGCGTCCTGCACGGTCTTCCGCTCCGGCGAGGTTCCCCCGCCGCCTCCGCACAGCGGCAATTGCGACAGATTGTGCACGCCGGCTATGCCCAAGTCCCCGGGAGCTGCGCCCTCCTGATCCGATCGCCTGGCCACCTGGACACTCCCGTTGCCGTTGGCCAGATGGACAACGGCCACTGCCGCCGAGCTCGTCTGGTATTCCAACGTGTGTTCCGGCAGCAGTTCGATGTGGTAACGCGAGCGCGGTATAAGTGTCTGCATCTCGTGGCAATCCTGCTGCAACGTGCCGCCACTCAGACCGCCGGCACTGTCCCCCGGCATTCCGGAGGCACTGCTCAAATTACCGAAATTTATATCCGTCGGCGTGGTCAGGTGGGTGGGTCCTTGGGCGCGAGCCTTGAAGCTGCGCTGCTGGAAAATTATAAACAGTCCGAAGAAGAAAACGCAGGCCACCGAAAGCAGCGAGCCGATGGCGATGCCACTGTAAACCTCCGAATGGGACGTCTCTCTGTCGACTTCCAGCCAGGTGTGGTTGTTGTTCACCATGTCGAAGTATATGGGAGCACCCGCTCCAGTGTCGCCCATCACGCGGACCGCCACGTGGATTTTGGCCTCCTCCGAAACGTTTGGAAACTTTTAAATAATAAAAATTTTGTAACTATAGATTTGTGATTTGAGATTTGTGATTTTACATACCCTATAAAAGCATTTGGTGCACTCTTTCACTATAGCCTCATGCGTGACATTATCCAAAGACCACCGGATATCGTAGTGATGCACCCGACCATTGGGATTAATTGGCGGTTCCCACATCAGCTTCAGGCCATTTTGCTTGATCAACTTTGAGTTGCTTATAGTGCCAGGAGCTTAAGGAAATATTATTGTTAAGATATGAAGACTAATAACATATCTCTGGCAAACTTACGATCCTGTTCGGTCTTCACGTCTATCTCTCCGTAAAAAATGCGCGTCTTACAGTTGTAGAAATGCATATTGTAACGAACATCTGCTTTGAGTCCTGTGACCAAAAGCATCGAGTTGGAAATGTTGCGCTCGAGACACTCCTGGCTGGGAAAGGACATTTGCGGTTGTATCTCCGTGTGGCACTCCACCACACAAGTCTCATTCAGGCTGTCCAGAAACTTGAAGGCAAGAGCTCGCGATTCAATGGTCACCAGACGAAAGGGCATATTCGACTGCTCCGAAGTGCCGTTCTCGATCTGAAAAGGGGAAAGATTCAAGACCATTATAAAATCCCATCGGACATATACGAATCCTCTACAGATAAAAAAAAAGTAATCCCCTACAGTACAGTCTACTCACAATCTTCCACTGGACGTAGCGAAAGTCCTGGCCCAGGAACTCATTCTCGCTGGTGATGATCAGCACTCTCATTTTAACGCGCGTGAATCGCTGCAGGAGCAATCCTGTCACACTGGCATCCACCACCATGCTGTAAATGTCCTCCTCCAATTCCACCGCTGCGTCGTCCTCCTGATTATCCAGTTGCTCATGCTCGGCGTTTTTCAACACAGTGGCTGCTGCAGATGCATTCAAGGGTTTGATGACAGTCAAATGACGACGCACTTCGTCGGCTTTCTCATCCACGGGAGTCAGGGTGCCTTGCAGGGTTCCATTCAGAAACTGCGTGGGATGCGGATCGGTGTGATTAATGGAGAACTGCAGGATGAAGTACTTCTTGTTGTCCAATTGGCCCTGCGACCACTTTACAAAGGTGTCGTTGCCCACGGCGATGGGACGAAGCATCACTATGGGTTAAATATATTAATAAACATTAACTGCGGAGTCTTTAAAGATATACTTACATCCTTGTGTGCAGCAGGTGACCGGCGTACTGCGCCAAGAGCTGAGAATCATCTGCTGGGGCACCGAGGTCCCAGTTCTCACCTCCGTGATAGGCAGCAAAACCCGCGTGATGAGCGCAAAGGGCTCGTAAACCGGCAGATTGGTGGATATCACTACATAGGAGGTCTGATTCAGCTTCATGGGCGAAAAGGAGGTCCAGCTGTGCGGGTTACTCCTCACAATATAGACCACGAACATCGACGTCAAGCGGTGGCTATCGAAGGTGATGTTGATGGCGTGAAAGCTGTGCGGATAGCAGCGGATATTCTGCAGCGAACTGATCTCCTCGCGCTGCCGTGTGAATCGCAGCTCACCCGTGGCCGAATCCTCGCCAGCCACATTCGTGGCCACGCACTGGTAGATGCCCTCCTCCTGCGGATCGAACGAGTGGATGTGCAGCTCGTTGCCGCTGATGAAGCGGGTGTACGAGCTGTTCAGCTGGACTCCGTTGTGGTACCACGTTATACTGGGCTCCGGATTGCCCTCCGCCCGGCAGCTGAGTATCCTTGACAGACCAATGTACACCACCTCGACGGGCAGGCGACTCACTATCCTCGGCGGAGTGGTCACAATCACTTGAAAGCTTTGCGTTTCCTGCGGTGTTATGCAGCTGTAGCGTCCCTCGTGGCGCGAAACACTCGCATTTGTGATGGACAGCGCTACACTGTTGTTGCTCAGGAGCACCATTTTGTTGTCTCGCGACTGCAGATACCACTCGATGGGCACAAAGTCCGCCACCGCGTGGCATTGCAGCAGAAAGGACCCGCCGGAGGGCACAAAAACGGTGGCATTTTGAAATGCCGGCAGGAGTTGAGCCGCCGAAACGGACGTCTCCGAAATTTCCGCCTGGTTGTTGGGATAAAACGCCGAGTCCTTGGGCTCCACTCGCAACTGCCAAGTGAACTGACGGTGCGTCTTGCCGGCAAACGCATTCTGGGCCACGCATCTAGAACAAGCGAATACAACAGGGAAATGGAAACTGGTCAGTGGTCTCGTGCGATAATTGCCATGGACAATGGCCACAATTACAGCCACCACTCGGCCGCCGCTAAGTGTTAATTAATGCATTGTTTAGGGGCTCGCCGGCGGTGCGAGCGGTGCGTGAGTTTGTGTGCCACGGGTTGGAGTGTGGCTCTTCTGATGAAGTGCCGCGGAAGGTGTTGATTTTGCCACAAGCGGCGAACTTGCCGCTGCACAGGCAGCAACGGCAGCAACCAAATGGAAAATTGCCCTCGGACTTAATTTAGTTAAACTGGGCAGATCGGTTAAGTAGTGGCCCAGCGGGGGAACAATATATATCATGTTAAGTGTGCAACTGTTGAAACGCCATGTAGAACTTTGCAAATGCATTTAATAGCATTTAAAATGGAAACTTGATACTGTTTGCTCTGTGATTTAGTTTTTAATTAGGTTTCCTTTTTTCTCTTAAATTAATTGAGTGGATTTAAGCTATCTTCCTTTGTTACTCACTTGTATTTGCCGGCTTGTTCGAGCCTTAAATTCCGCAGTATCAAAGTACCATTGGCCAGGGTGAGGGCGCTGTAATAATAGCAATTAAGTTACTTATTGCCCGCCAAATTAAACACAAATAGCTGCAAGCGTTGGTCAACCCATCCAGCTGACAGGCACTTCAAGTATACAGCATAATATACAAGTCTAGGCCCGCTGCTCGATGCTTCAACACTGATCTTTACTCGCCTGTTGTCGTTGGTCAGGGAATCGTTGCCGAAATACCAGCTAAATCTCGCGGGGGGAACACTAAAGAAGGGGCAGCTCAGCACGAGCGGTTTGTTCTCCACTGCACTGATGTTGGCAATCTGCTGCTGGCCAGGAAATATACGCTTGAGTACTGTAAATAAAATAAAATAAATTAAAAGGAAAGTCATTTAAAATTGTATCACATATACAAATATCGTTTTAAAACATTAAAAACTATAACTCTTGGTAATCTTCACATTAAATATGATTACGCTATGGTTTGTTTTCATTTAAAACTCACCTGGATACTCGACTGTGATTTTGTCGGAGATAACTGCCGCCTCATCCCACTCAATCTTGCAGTAGTACTCCCCGCTGGCTTTCTCATTGCTGGGCAGTCGGAGTGTTCCGTTCTCGTAGATGAAGAAGTCATGTTTGCGGATGGACATTTGCTCGACGACCACGTCATTGCGATACCAGCTGCAGTAGATGGGCAGATTGTCTGCTGGTTGGTTGGACAAAAAGTCCTCAAAATTAGTATCCTTTTTGGGACTCCTACTGAATCAGCTCCAAACTACTTACCCTGTTCATAGTCGTAGGGAGTGAGGATGGGAATGCATGGCAGATAATACGGAGAATGGGGTTTGCTGATGGTCAGTCTGGTGATGGCGTGCTTCTGGATCTGCAGATACGGCAGGAGTGCGGTTGAGTTCTTCGGTTGGGTGACGGCGGCAACTGCAAGACGGCAAAAAACAATTGATTAAGAATCTGTTCTTGGCGCGACGCGGCTAAATTATTGGCTCCAATAATCCTCCGCCCATTGACCAGACAATAGACAAAAGGCGAATAACAAAGCGGGCAAAAAAGCGGTCCACACAATAAAAAAAAAAGGGAAAATGTTATTTATATTCTAGCTTAATCTATTGGCTGTTATAAATTTCACGCTTTTCACTTAACACCGCCCCCAATACGAAAGCCCGACCGCCCACAACTGCATCGAGGTTTTTACTGCATTGGCCATAAATACCAAGAGCACACAGAAAAAATCTGAGAAATAGAAACTGCCAAACAACGGAGCCGTGCTGGGCTCAGGGTTTCCTAGTACACTTGGAGAAAAATACTACTCACAATACTACTGTAAGAGTAAAGCATAATAGCGGAGTTGCAAATCGTAATTTATATTTGCAACAGTAGCATTAAAATTCATACTTCAGGTCATAAATAACTGTTTTATCATTCCATAATTTTTATTTTATATTTATAGTTCAAGAATACTATCTCCAAATAAATCACTTTATGGAATTCTCACATATTTTATTTTTTTTTAACTTGCACCATTTACTCAAGATTTTAAGTAAATGTACAATCGAACTTGCATTAATTAGAACACCATTTGCTGCACGAGTTTATCGAATAAACTTTACTGCTAATAAAACCAGTGCGAGTTAGAGAGAATTTAAAGTTATGGTTCTTTTTTTAGTGCACATTTGGGTAATGGCTCTGGCTGTGATTCTGGGTAAGCCCCGGCTCCAGTTCTCCATTTCTCGGTGTGGGTCCGAGTGGCGACTCCGAGTGGCAAGTCCGAGTGGCGAGTCCGAAACCGAGTCTTCTGCTACGTGCTGCAGGCGTGTCCATGCAGACTTGGCGTGTTAATTAATTTCTGTGCTGCTTTTCTGCTGTTGACGCGACCATGGCGTCCTCGTCGTCGTCGTCGTCGTCTTTTTCGTCTGGACTTACAACTGCAGCCGGCCGACGCTGCGTATACGTGATATTAAGCAGTTGAAACAATTACATGGCCAGCGGGCAGTGCAGTGGAGATTTGCATACGACTTTGTTGAAAGTCGTCCATCAGGCATCACATTATCTATTAGCTGTGTACAAGCAGTTCCCGGGAAATGCGAATGATAATGACCAAATGCCAGGTTCGGTACTTGTCGGGTGAAAAATGTGCAAGTGCGGCAGTGGAGCTCCCTAACAAATGTCCGAACATTAGTCAAATGCGTTGAAATTTATGCTAAAAATGCAATCAACTTGCGTTCCGCTCGACGGACGTCCTCAAGCTCCCCTGCTCCCCTTTCCCCCTCTCCCCTTCCCTTCGCTTCCCATTCAAAAAAAAAATCCCCACAATCAGCCGCTTGCCACCCAAGTGGCCAAGTGCACTCGGTTGTTGCCAATGCTGAATGTGCTGACTGCTCGTTAGTCAGTCACAAATTGTGGCAAGTCGGTGGGTTCTTTTTGTGCTGCACTCGGAAACTGAATATTTGTTTCGGTTTTGATAAATGGACTCCTATAAATTAGATAATTGCTGAACATGCTGCGAGGGATGTGTCTTAAAGCGTTCGCTCTCTGGACTCTGGGGTCTGGTCTCTGGTCTCTGGAATTTGCCCCGCTCTGATGTTGCATGTTTGTACGCAATGTGTTGCAATTTTTATTGCAGTAATTACACGCAATGCCCGGCGGCAATTTGACGCATGGAAATGCCTTCGACGGCCACGTCAGCATTGAAGCTACTACATCCCGCTAAGTGAGGCACATTTGCGAGCACCGAGTGCTTTTCAAGGGTGAGGGGTTGCAGGAAGATCTGACCACGGGGAACCACCGGCAAACTGAGAGAAATCAATATACGATTGAATTAACAAGTCAGTTACCCTAGTTTGAATAACCTTTATTATCTTGGATTGATTAGTTATAACAAATAAGTCAATTGTATTTGGATATCTATATTGTTATTCATAATATCATTCCTAGGTTACCTATTTTTCTGCCAGTGCAAATGCAGTAGCATGTGCAAGTGCAACCAGGGCGTAATTGTTATAGCGTAATTGTTTCAATGGCGGGGCGTTTAATTGCGCTTTGGCAACTCAACTCCGCCGCTAACGACGCTCGGTTTTCGAGAGTCAAAGTTCAGCGATTTCTTCTTTTTTTTTTTTTTTTTTTTTTTTTTTTTTTTTGTCATCCCAGCGCACACCTTGCCGCGGTGCAATTTGTCATCGCCTCTTGGAGGGTTTCGCTGGTAGGGGAGGAACATGTCAGCGGCAGCATTACCCTTAAACCTCCTGCTCGTGTGCTCCGGAGTCGTTAGCGGAATCGTTAAGCCGGCAGATTAATTGCCTCGCCGCTCGAGGAGTCAATGCTCGCACAGAGCCATCTATTTAATGCTCTTGACATTCACTTCCAATCGAAACTATTCCTCCGCAGCTTTCTAAACCACTTGACGGGGGCTATCAATTGTGTTAGATCGCAGCTAGAAGCCATCATCGCTGGCCATAACTCAACGCAGCTGCAACAAGATCGGCAATCTCGGTGATTGAACTGTCATGACATTCAGCTTTCGTCCAGACAACAAGTTATCTGCTCCCCCATCCCCCTTCCCCACGAACGAGTGTAACCCTATATAATTTCAGCAAATTTGTATTAAAATCCGTCGTAGTCAAAGCAATGCATAAGTCTTCTCAACTCAGTCAACTCAGCGCAGAGGAATGCTTCCCAGAATCGTGCTTGAATGCTGTTTGACAAGTATATATACGCATAGTATATACTCCCATCTGCACTTACTAAGTTGTAGCAAGTTGCAAGTCAATAGTGTGGGGGGCAGATTGCAGCGGTGATGGCTTCTTGGGGCAAACAAGAAGGGGGCGAAGAACTGGGCGCTGCTGCACAAATTTGCATAGTTGAACGCACGTCGCCGCACGATGGAAAATGTAATGATACGGCACAGAAAAATGTTAGTCCCAGAAGGAAAGCATTAACCAAACTTGTATTGAATTTGCCAGCTCTTATTGATGCCACAAAAAATAAATGGGTTAACCAAAAGAAGGAGTTTCTTGTGATTTGAAAAAGCATTGTTTTCATTTATCCCCATCACTAAAAACAATAAAATTGTGGGTGCCACACGGCTTGCGGCGCTTTAAAGGCCAAACCCTATTTCTAAATTGTTTTTTATTTCGCATCTAGACGGGTAAATCCTCCCACTGTGCGCCTTCGATGCAGTGCATTCCGGACGGCAACTGTTGCTGCCGCCGCTGCAGTTGATGATGAATGCAACTGCAATTGCTGCTGCAGCAGCGGCACATAAATTGCCGGCTGCTGCGCCGAGCTTATCAAAACGGCAACATCTTGTGCATAGATAAGCCGGCCTGGCCTCGGCCTCCAACTAACGGGTCTGGGCCCCCATGGAATTTCGCAAATTCAAATTGCCTGGCATCCTTTAATGCCTCTGCTGCTGCCTCTGCTGCTGCTGCACAGCTGCAACGCTGGCACACTTTTACCGCTCCAAATCCAAAGGCAGCGGCAACATTTTATGCAAAATGCAACGCGCACGAGATAATTTATCGCCTAATGACGTGCTGTTCTAAGGTTGCCCGCGTTGTTGTAAAATGCAATAATAAAATGTGCCTGCAGCAGGAAGATGCAAAGTATGAACAAAAAAAAATGACGACGACGACAAAAAAAAAAAGAGCGGACTATAAAAAAACAAAATTAAAAATGAAATTTAAATGCCGCACGAGCGAGCAGCATCAGCTGAGGAGGCAGTGGAACGGGTTGCCAACTATCAGAGCTGCAGCAGATCCCTACCCCTCACTATAATGGCATGCACTCGAAGAAAAAGGCTCTAACTAATTTCCAGAAAATTTAGTTAACACAAAGACTAACATACATGTTTAGGATCTTCTTTTTGCGCTTGACCGGCGATATTGTATTGATGCAAGCCTAAAACCTCTTTTATACTGCTTGCAATAATGCAATATAAAACTCGGATTTAAATACCTAAAATCCTAGTACGCTTCAAAAATTTAAAGTAAATTCTTCCCTGTGTCTAGAGAGCATTCTTGGGGGCTCCGGTCTTCTGTCGCTTCGGGGGCGCTCAACGAGAATTTATGAATGTGCAAATGCATACGACAATTTCGCGCATAAATGTAAGCTCCTGCCATGCAGCAGAACGGGAGAAAGTCCGGGGAGAAATTATCAAGGGAGAGGAGGAGAAAGGCGGAGAAAGGGGAAGCACCCACCGCAAGTCTGCGGAAAGACGGAAAAGATGGGGAAAAGCTGGGGGATCGGATGGCAGTCGAAGATGCGATGCGTGTGCACATTCCGTGGCATTCCGCTGCGGCATGTGGGAAGTTCTATGGTTGCACAGAAAGTATCTTGTAGCTTGTGTTGCTGCTGCTGCTGCTGCACCAGCGATTGCAACAACAGCAACAGCAACGGCAACTTGAATCGCATCTATTGATTGCACACAGTTCATTGGCGCGACTGCAGAAGGATTGCCAAGGGGGAAGTTGTTCGGCGTGGCTGGATGCCTGTGAATGCCTGAATAGCCCAGCTTATTTGGGTTAGCAGTTCAAATAGTTTTACGTGCTGTTTTGATCAAATTTCCAAATGCCAACAGAGAATTTATTGAAAAGTCCCCGCAGGCACGGGGGAGTTGCAGGTCGCAAGTCGCAAGTCGCAAGTTGCTAGTTGCAACGGCCACTGCTATAATTTCTCCATTCGAGGAGCATTGTTTGCCTTTTGCTCAAGCTACATATGGCTGCTCAATTGAATGTCTGTGGTTCGGTGTAATTGAGTGGTTGAAAATACTCGAAATGGCAACTAGTTAGGTTAAATGTGCCGCTGCCAAATGCACACACATAACTAACCGCCCACAACTTTAAGGCATCCTAGCTCTAAACCATAGTTATATGGCAGGAGAAATGGCGGGGATACTGGGGGAATACATTCGAACCACTTTAGAC